CACATTTACATACATATATATATTACATACATTTACACAGATATACACATATGCAGACACGCACACACAGAGAGAGATGTAACACCAGGAAAAACTGGGCTGGTAAGTAAGGCAGCCCTGGTGAGAAGTGACCCAATTAACCCAAACTCCAATTAGCATAGCTTAGTCATTGCTGTGGACCTAGCCCCGCCCAAGGGTGCGAAGGGCAGGGGTACCAACAGAGATGGAGGGCTGCAGAAAACACTTGTTTTCCTCTCACTCCTTCCTTGAACCACCTGGGAAACTAATTAGGACTGCAAGAAGCATTAATTCTGGCAAATTATGCAGATAGTGGATGCAGAATTCATCTCACCTGATGAACAGCACTTAAAGCTTGCAGCACTAAAATACCGTACTGTTTTAGTAACACATCAGCAATCAGAAGATTTAAAACAACATTTAAAAAGCAAGCTTTAAAATCGGGCGAAAATGCTGCCTGTTACTCTGTGAAAGGTCCATAACCCCATTTTCATCCGCATTGCTGAGGGACTGCGTAATACATTTCAAACAAACAAAAAGCAGAAAAGGAAACGAGTTCACTTTGCAGGGTAATAAACATCACGATCAGAGAAGTTCCTTGGCACCGTTACCTCAGATGCATTCTGCAAGTTACGTGGGCACTGCACGGGAAAGCCATAAAAGATTGTTTAACTGAGGGAAGAGGATTATCGAGGATTGCTTGACTGTTCCCTGTTTGGCAATCTGGAAGTTGAATATCCTATGGTCAGCAAACATTTCAGCCAGCAGGCATTTGTCACTGCTGCTGACACGCAACGACAAAACTGCAGAAGAGGGAGTCTTTCACAGGGTTCAGAAAACTATGGCATATTTGGTCCCGCGCATTTTACAATGGAACATTATTATTCTGTTTCAAATTATTTCTGTTGCAGCTTTCCAGCAAGTACCTCAGGTAAAGCAATGAAAACAAACACGCAGCCTGTGCTGACAAAAGGGTAATGATATTTTCCACGGCAAGGAGGTAACTGCAGCCAAGCCAAGGAGGAGGATTTTTTCCTTGTGGAAGCTGTATCCTTACTTGCACCGGTTCACATAGGACTAACAGGCCCATGTTTTCAGGACAGCGAGGGGATTTAATGCACTTGGATTCAAAGTTGTTGCCAAGCCCACTCGTTAGCCGAGCCTGCACGCTGCACAGAGCTGCTGCTGATGTTATGAGCAGCTTTAGGTGCATGAGAAACTACGTTGTTCTAGGAGAGGTAAATTTCCAGTTTTTTTCCAAAGATAGAAGGTGACTCCAGATAACAGTAAGCCATTTTGGTGAACAGAGGTGTTTCCTCCTAATGTAGCAAAATATAACCTGTGATAGGCTTGAGTTTATTGGTGCTCATCCACACTACAGAGATTGCTGCTGCTGCAAGATCTGCCAGCTGAGACCCCCTGCACGGACAAAGCATGAGCAAACAAAAGGAGTTTTTCTGGTTTTGTAGCCATCTGCCACATTCAAACCAACAAAAGCTGCCTGTGGATGGGAAAGTGAGGAATGAATAGCGGGACAGAGTTAAGGACCACCAGTATGTTTCAGTACAACTATGCCAGAAAAATGGTGTAGGGTTGATCGGGCTTGGAAGCATGGGTTTGTTTTTTTTTCCCCACATGAATTCTTGAGCCAACTTCAGAGATGGTGCAGGCGCTCCTGGCCAGAGGTTACTGTTCCTCCAGCCCAACAGATTTCACTGCTGACTGCTCTCCAGAGGTCACTGGTGGAGGTATCAAGGAAAACCAGCACAAATCCCAAGGATTTTGTATCGAGTTGTGGAATTGCCATCCTTGGAGGCATTCAAGGTTTCACTGGAAAAGTCCTTGTGCAATCTGAGCTTATTAAACGTGCTTGGGGTGGAGGCTGGGTTAGATGACCTCCAGAGGTCTCTTCCGACGTGAATTATTCCCTGACTCCATGAATCCCCTCCCTCCGGGAGAGTGACTGCTAAGCCCAGTCCTTCACTTCCTCTTCTTATACCAGCTTTCAACCCAAAAACCAACCTCCCATCCAATCTTGTGGCAACTTAGTTTCTTTACAAAGTTTAATGAGCTTTACAAAAAGCTTCTCAAAGGCTTTTTGAAAATGCAAGAGGATTATTATGCCCACACGACCCCCTTTATCGGCATACTTACCGCCCTTCCTCCAAACGCCAGTGATGCAGGACTTCACCGGAGCCTCTCCAACACCTTCCCAACAGACTGCATTCACCTATGTGTCCCTCGATCTCATTCTCTGTATTACCTCTGTATCATCTCACCAGGAATGGCAGCCAGCCCCATTGCTTCGGCATTCCGCTAAAGCGGTTTTTGAACATACTGGCAGCCTCCGATGGCTCCTCCAATGACAGATAGACCCCAGACCCAGTTCTGTGGTTTCTTATCTGAGTTTCTGAGGAACACTCCCGTAAACGTTATCCACTCCTGGATACTTATTAACATCTACTTTGTCCATTTTTTCTAGTATTACTGTATCAGATCAAATAATGCAATATCAGCCCAATGTTGAATCAAAAGTGTAAAGGGGGTGGAAAATGATCTGATGGGAGGAGAAGGAGAAAGAAAAATGACACTTTTTCAATGTAAACCAGATCCAGTTTGTAGCAGAACGGAGCTGTGAAAGCAACTACTGAGTTGTGGAAAGCTGCTAACACACTGAGGGTGAGCCGTGGATTACCAGAAGCCAGCTCTGCTGCTGCAGAAGTCCAGCGAAGGGCTGCCCTCCCAGCTTGCTGCCTTCGGCGGTGAGGGAACAAGTTCCCGTATCATGAGGAGGGGACCCACCTGCTGCCCGCACACCTCAACCTGCTGCAGAGATGAAGGGCTGAAGCAGCACTACGTGCCGCAGAAGAAGACACCCCGTTCGCAGTGGGAAGAATCCCCAGCTGCAGATGTACAGCTGCACCATGTAATTCTCACGTCATTGGTTAACAAGAGTTATTAATTGCATTAGCACACAGGTCAAAGGATCAAAAAAAGTATTTTATATGTTATTTCTGCTCTTTTAGAAACAGAAGCC